ACCATCAGTTTGTAGATAGTATGTAAATGTTCTATTTCTAGTAGAAACTTTTTTTATATTAAAGCTTCTATTCCACCAATGATCAAAATTTTCTTTAAAAGCTTCTCTAGTTACTAGATCACTATGCTTAGTAAAAGCCCATAATTGGTATAATGCTTCAGTGTCAATGTTTATGTTTCTTTGTTGGATTGAATATAGTGAAAGAATTGTGAAAGAGCGAAGGTTTTTGGTATGAGGATTTTTTGAAATATGTTTTAATAAAGAGTGCAGGAGAGGGAGATATTTCCACCAATTTTTTTTCACTTCATTGTTTTTTAATGACAAGGTTCCTAAATATTTCTTGCCTTTTGCAATATATAAATGAATCTAGTAGAGGCAATGTCAAAAAGTGAAGGATCTCTGATATTAAAAAAAAAATGATGGAAGTGAAAGTCTTGAACCACTGTAAAGGATTTTATTAGGGATGGGGCGGTTCCGCTCCGCTCTGTTCAGCTCTTGTGGAGCCGCTCTCCATTACACAAAAATCAAAATGTTTCACAGAAAAAAAAAATACAAAACTTCGGGCGACGAATAGACATTTTGCTATAAAAAGGTGATGAATAACACATTTTTTTGGGGTGACAATTAAGCTTGGCGTATATTTCATATACATATTAATATGTAAAACTCAATCAGTCATGTGGGAGGTGAGCTCATATGACCGACTTATCAAATTAATTACTTAAATATTAAGAAAATGGGGTGAAAATGGGGTGAAAATTTTGGCCGACTTATTGAGTTTACATATATATATATATACATTAAAAATGATGTATTTTTTTTTAAAATAGAATTTTCCAAAAACAATAATAAAGATATCACTATTATTTATTGTGTTTGGAAATTTGAGATGTTAGAATAAAAATCATTTGTCATTTAATAGCGAGTTCACTACTTTTAAAGGAAATTGTATCACATAAATATATACAATAAATTTAGTAATTTGTCGCAAAATAAATAGTAATAATAATGTGTTATAAAAAAATTTTAATTGAATTTAGCAATGTGTCGCAAAAATAAAATAATTGAATTTAGCAATGTGTCATAAAGATATGGTGCACCGTATCTAAAGACATCAAAAAAATTGCAAATCTTTAAACCCTGATAGATTTGGAAATATTTGTCAGGCCACAAAAA